ACAGTAGTACAGCCTAGCGCATTTCACACAGGCTGTTAGTTTCACTTTCGCCAGAAAGTCGTGTATTGCCTAAGGTTGAAAATAAATTATGTTTATAGTGAATGCCCCTATAAATGGTCTTATTTTTATGATTTAGTTTTAATCCAAATGATGCATGTGCTAAGTGAGTGAACATCAAAGATCACACAACAGAAGTGCGCACGCGGGCTCTCTCTCTCTGTCTCTCTCTCTCAGGCTCCCTACCGTTAAGTAACTTGTGCATTGTTTTACTTACTTGTTTTTTACATATCCGACAGAACTACAAACTTTCCACGAGTACGAGTACAGGAGCTCAGTTTCGGGCCCGATACCGGTACATCCCGAATTATAACACATTTAAATAACTATTTTCTATTTGAATGCATATACAGTGGGTACGGAAAGTATTCAGACCCCCTTAAATTTTTCACTCTTTGTTATATTGCAGCCATTTGCTAAAATCATTTAAGTAAATTTTTTCCCTCATTAATGTACACACAGCACCCCATATTGACAGAAAAACACAGAATTGTTGACATTTTTGCAGATTTATTAAAAAAAGAAAAACTGAAATATCACATGGTCCTAAGTATTCAGACCCTTTGCTCAGTATTTAGTAGAAGCACCCTTTTGATCTAATACAGCCATGAGTCTTTTTGGGAAAGATGCAACAAGTTGTTCACCCCTGCATTTGGGGATCCTCTGCCAATGTATGTATGTATGTCTGTATGCATGTATAATATTACAATTCATAAGTTAAGCACATTACTAACCAGCAATTTCTTAATACCACACTGCAATGTGTAAAAACAAATACAATTATAAAAAAAGATATAAACTATAATATAAAAACTAATTATAAAGAACATTTGTAAAGTACCATTTAAAGTATGCAGCATTTTTTTATGATTTTGTATTGCTCTTACAGCAAAACACCTTAAATATCTTCAAGCATTATCCATTTCTCTCTCTATCTTGTCTTTCAAAAATAGCCTTTTCCAAAAACAGTTCAATAAAAAGGGTCAGAAAGAGGGTGGAAAACTGAAAATTAAGTTTTTGATGGAAGAAACCTCGACATAACATATTATGAGTGGATTTGAGGAAGAAAAGAATAATAATTAAATACGACAAAGCGTAGGAGTCCTATTAGTTTAAAAGCCACTTCATTCATCTTCGTTAATTTGCAGCCATCTGAAAGCAGGAAGAACATTTCCAGCAGATTCCACATGAGCAAACACTGCGAATAGCAACCAGCCGCACGCAAAGCCTTTGCACTTTGAAAGTGTGACTGGGGCTATTCCGCATTTCCTTGCGTTCAGCTTGATTTTCATTTGCAAGTCTTTCCTGCAGCTGTAATTAGGTCTGGCCTACATAACTCAGCAGAAACACAACACAGCGCATGTTCAAGACAAACTCCCCTCTTTCTCTCTCTCCGTCTCACCTTATGAAGAAAACACTGGCGAGGCTAAGACTGAAGAGGTAAAACTGGGGTCTACAGTTTTTCAGAGTTTATTTTCCTTGTTGTGTAAAGACACAGTAAACACAGTTAGCCTGGAGTGAGAGATTAGCGCCTCGCGGTTCTGCTAATGCAGTTCGATAGCTAATATTTATGTTTACTGAACATCTTATCTGAGCCTTTGTGTTTGAACAGGACTCATAATGACAGACAATACCGGCATCACATACACACAACAGAATATCAATGCCGTGAGGTCAAGATAACACCGGTTTAGTCCAGCTTATCATTTACTCACCTAACTATTAACTTCATAATCAAAACCGATAGTATAAAGTGCTGAAGAAAGACTGTTGTTATTAAACTATTATTATACTGATACCTAAAAACAGAGAAGATAAAATGAGGTGAAGGACAAACAACAAGTCAGTTCTTATTATATTAATATTTAAAGAGTAATTGAGGATTACACGAGTGATTTGGGTGATGGACAGATGAAATTCATGAATGAAAGTGCTGGCAGAAAAAGCCTAAGTAATTCAGAGCCAGAAATGTTTCTTCTACACACGCAGCCAAATCTGAATGAAAGTGCCAGTAAATGCTGGCTTCAAATGAGACCAAACCAGCAGCCATTCACATCCGAAATGAGTGACATGCAGATATCGTGTCCTGCTGTGCGATCTGAAGGGAGGAATAATAGCTCACTCACTCATTCAGCATGTGTAAGCCTGCCATTACTCCTGATGAAGGATCCTGTTTTTACTAGAAGATAACAGACTCCTGCTGTGTAGTGCTCGTGCAGGAATTACACATCATTTAGTGGCTCTGCAGTGGAGTCCTTCAATCACCTGATCACATCTGAGACCCAATCTGCACTTCAGAAACGTGTCAAAGAGACAGGATGAACTGAAGACGACCTGACGCCAGAGAAAAAACCTCCACACTGCATACAGTACAGCCCGTCCGATCTCACTCAGACTGGAAGGGGGAAAAGTAGAAAATAAACAATGAATAGATGGACAGAAAAGAAAAAGAATCAAAGAAAAAAGGATGGCTGGATGGATAGACAAAAGATGGATGGAAGAATAAAGGAAAATGGATGAAAGGAATAAAGAATGAGAAATTAATGGAAACAAAAAAGAAAGAAAAATGGTTGGAAGCAAAAAAAGAGCAATGAATTGATGGAAGGAAAATAAAAATAAATTGAGAATGAAAGCAAAATGGATGGATGGATGGTAAGAAAAACAGATGAATGGATGAAAAGGAAAACAATAAATGGGTCGATGGAAGGATGGATGGGAGGAAGGTAAGAAAAGTAATAAATGGATGGATGATAGATGGATGAGAGGAAGGTAAGAAAAGTAATAAATGGATGGATAGATGGAAAGAAAACAATAAATGGATGGATGGATGGATGGATGAGAGGAAGGTAAGAAAAGTGATAAATGGATGGATAGATGGAAAGAAAACAATAAATGGATGGATGGATGGATGGATGGGAGGAAGGTAAGAAAAGTAATAAATGGATGGATGGAAAGAAAAAAAATGAATGATGGATGGAAAGAAAAAAAATGAATGGATGGATGGATAGAAAGAATAACAATGGGTGGATGGATGGATAGATTGATGGGAGCAAGCTAAGAGAAATAAATGGATGGTGGAGAGAAAGAAAAACAATAAAAGGATGGATGGGAGGAAGGAAGTAAGGAAGGAAAAAACAAATGGAAAGATGGTTAGATGTAAGGAAATTACAAACAGATGGATGGATGCATGGAAAGAAGGAAGGAAAGAAAAACAGATCAATGGAAGAAAATAATAAATGGAAAGATTGGAAGAAAAAGATGGATGAAAGAAGGAAGGAAGGAAAACAATAGAAGGATGGATGGATGAAACTGAAAGGATGTACAGTGGGGCAAAAAAGTATTTAGTCAGCCACCAATTGTGCAAGTTCTCCCACTTAAAAAGATGAGAGAGGCCTGTAATTTTAGCTCTCAGTGACATGAACATCATGAATTAATAGTGATATGATGGAAAAGGCTTTTAATTTAGACCATGTGCTGGTTTAAGTTCAGATGATAGGCCTCTCTCTCTCTCTCTCTGAGCGG